CTACCGCTGACGGCCCCTTCCCCTCCCCAGGCCCAGGCTGGGTGGCTGCAGCACGACTACGGCCACCTCTCCGTGTACAAGAAGTCCGGCTGGAACCACGTCGTGCACAAGTTCGTCATCGGCCACCTGAAGGCAAGTGTGGCCAGCCTGGCCCCGCCCGGGCTCCCTCAGCCCTGCGCTCTGCAGCCGTGGCCGGGGACAGCACCTCTGAGCGCCCTACCTGGGCTGCACCCAGCAGGCAGCTGTGCAGACTTCTGGAGGGGAGATTACTGCCCCCCTGTGTTGGTTCTCACACTTGGCTCCCTCGCACTCGGGCCGATTGTGCTGTTATCTTCTGATTCTTTCTCAGGCCATCTCTTAGGCTCCTTGGAAATACGTGGAGTGCAGAAAGCAGATAGGTGCCCCTCAGTTTACGATGCGGTTGTGCAAGTTTAAAATATGCTAAATTGAGCCGGGCATGGTACCACACACCTGTGATCCTGGCACTTGGTAGGCTGAGGCAGGAGGATCGCCAAGAGTTTGAGGCTACATAGTGAGTTCAAGGCCAGCCTGAACTAGGTAGTGAGACCCTCTCTCAAAAAAACCAACAAAAAGAAAAGCTGAGTCTTGGAAACACCCGCCTTCCCGTCCTGGTGGGAAAGCTGTGGCCGCAGCCCCAGTGGGCACCGGGCTGGAGGGTGTGGACCAATGGGCAAGCGCTGTGTGCCTCTTCCCACCCCCACCCCACCCCCGATGTGCCTCTTCCCCCCCCCCCCCCCCCCCCGCCCCAGCAGACTGCCCGCCCAGCCTGGCCAGCAGGGTCTGGGAACTGGGCTCTTCCCAAGCCTGGGGAGGCGGAGAGGTTTGCACAGTTGGGCTTTGTTTCCTCTTCCTCCTGTGGATAAAACCTCCTCAGTCCTGGAAAGGGACATTCCCTCCTGAGAGTGTCCCCACCCACACAAAGATGGGCTGTGTCCCTTTCCCAGGGTAGGGGCCTAGGCTTTCACCATGGCCTGAGTCCTGGCCGCCCTGGGCACAGCGCTGGTGTCGGCTGGGTCCGGGCCTCCCAGGAGACGCTGATGCCAGTGGCACTCGGGTGGCAGGGCCAGGGTCCTTGGCTCAGGGGCGCGGTGCACCCCTCCTGGCTGTGCTCACACAGGGCTCCTCGGTGCTGGGTCCTCGGTCTCCAGCTTGGCACCAGGCGCTGAGCACCACTGTGGGGTGTGGGGGCTCCACACAGTGCCACTTCCTGAGGAGGCGGAGAAATTGTCTGTTTCATCACATACAGGGGGTCGAACCCAGGGCCTCTGTACTGAGCCATCCCCAACCTCTTGTCCTGTGTGACAGGGTCCTGCTCACTTGCTAAATTGCCCAGGCTGGGCTCGCCTGGCAGCACCCACCCTGCAGCCTCCCAGATTTCAGAAGGTCAGGGCTGAGCTTAGGCATGGAAACCATACACCTTGATTTCTCTTCCCCTAGAGCGTTAAATGTTTAAATTTGGAAAATCACTGTATAAAAATTCCAAGATTATTTTAGGTTTAAATGTCTTCTTTATTTACTTACTTAGCTACTTTTTGAGACAAGGTCTCACCGTGTCGTTGAGGCTGGCCCCAGTCACGATGACCCTTCTGCCTTGGCCTCCGAGTGCTGGATCGACAAGCGTTGTCCCATTGTCTTATTTATGCCAGAGCATAATTCATTCTACTTCTGCGTCACCATGAATTAATTAGAAACTGCACCAACTCCTCCCTTGGTTGGTAGAAATTGTGAATCTGAGCCAGGCCCTGCCCTGAGACAAGGTGGGCCGGGACCAGAGCCACCGTCAGCTCCTGGGCCTCGCCACCCCCTGTCCTCTCCCGCTGTGTGACCAGGGTGTCCACTCCCTCCAGCTCCTGGGAACAACGGCTCTATCCAAGCTGCACTGCCCGGCCTCGGCCTCGGCCTCCACAGTGGCCAGCTTAGGGCGGCAGGACACAGGCAGGGCCCGGCTGGTCACTGTTCCAGCAGGACAGCAGCCCTGTCCCCCCGACTCGCTCGGGGTCATCTTCCGCTCTCCTTCCCGTTCCCCAGCAGACGTCCTTGGGCCCTGTCTCCATTTTGCCCTGGCCTTCACCGTGCCTGCCGGTGCGTCCTAGGTGGGCAGCACGGCCTCCTGCTCCCCTTTCAGTCCCTGCTCCTGCAGGTCCCTGCTGGGGCTTTCTCATTTGTCTCCTCCGGGCAGTTTTCCCTCATGCCTCTGGACGGAATGTGTCACTGACCCCGAACCTTTGGGCTCTGCTGGTGTTGAGGCCCAGCGGTCGCAGGGCCCAGGGTCACGTCAGAGGCCAGGGCTGTCAGCATCCAGAGGCTGCGGCTGTGCCAGAAGTGCCTCTGGGGAAGACGTTTGCTTTGCGTATAGAAGCTTTTGTGTGTCTGGCCAGGCCCTCGGCCAAAGCAGAGCCTCTTCACCGTACACCGTGGAAGTGCACAGGGCAGCTGCTGGGTCTTCGCTGAACAAACGATCCACGGCCCAGGCTGCCACTGCCGCAGCTGCCACAGCTGATGGCTGGACAGCATTGGCACCCACGCCTCTGCCGCCACCGCCACGCCCGGCCCCGGGCAGTGCTGTCTCCGTGGATCTCATGCCGATGGAGCCTGTGCCAGGCTGGGGTCCCTGTGACGGGCTCCTTTCCCTCAGCACAGGGTGTCCAGGTGTTGCTGGCACAGCCGCACTCGTCTGGGTTACGTTCGTGTTGCTGAGACACAAGACCCAGCACCGCAGCTGCTGGGGGGTGGGCGAGAAGTCTAGGGGGGAGCCAGGAGGGAGATGGGCGTTTCCGGGGACCCCAGCCCCCATACAGTGATCAGCTTCCGAGGCGCACGAGACTCGGATGCCCAGTGTGGCCCTGATGCGCCCCGTGTGGCTGCGCCACTTTTATCCCCCACTCTGAGGACTTTTGAGGCTGCCGCGCAGATGAGTGGCATTTTCAGGAACGTCCTGTGGGTTCCTGCAAACGCATCCTCTCCCTGGGCCCGGGAAGGAAAGTGCTCGGCAGTAGAGGTCAGGGTGCTGTCTGCTGTCCCAGAAACACCGCCCCCGGCACAGCACTGGGGACGTGCGCTGCATGAGCAGGGGTGGAAGGCCCTGCACCCCTGAACCTACCGGGGTTCAGCCTTTGGCCAGCACCAGCCCTTCTTCCTTGCGGTGACCATGCTAGGGTGGGGAAGTAGGAGCTGATGTGCCCACTTCAGCGCCCCTGGGTTGCCAAGAAGCTGCTGGGCCGTGGCGCTCACTGAGCATCCCCGCAGGGCGCCTCCGCCAACTGGTGGAACCACCGTCACTTCCAGCACCACGCCAAGCCCAACGTCTTCCACAAGGACCCGGACGTCAAGATGCTGCACGTGTTTGTCCTGGGCGAGTCGCAGCCCCTCGAGGTATGGCTGGGGGATGGCGGGGACACGGGAGGTGCCCCAGGGAGGAGGAGCCCCACGGGTAGGCACCACACAGCGCATCCTGTGCCACGCAGAGTCCGGCCCAATTAGCAGGAGAGCAGGTTCTGCACCTCCCTGTGGGTGGACGGCGGCTCAGGTTCAGGGGGCTTTGCCTGAGCACCACAGTCCCTGCCCGAGGACCCCGCCTGGCCTGGTCCTCCCGCCCAGCAGATAATGAGCAGGGCAGAGGGCGCGGGCAAGTGTTGGTGGACACTGCCTGGCAGGTCTTGTGACCACGGCTGTCCTGCTAACACACCACTGTCTTGTTGGGATTGTGTGTGTGTGTGCACGCGAACATTGAAATTGTATGGAAATATACAAAATTTAAAAATGAGTCACCAGACGTGGGGCACACACCTGTAACCCGAGCACTCAGTAGGCTGAGGCAGGAGGATCATTGTGGGTTTGAGGCCAGCCTGGGTTCCACAGTGAGACCCTGCCTCAAAAAACCCAGGAAAAAAGTGAGCCTCTTATGTCCTTCCTGTGCCCTCACCCCAGCTTTGTGCCCTGGAGTACTTGATATTTCCTGTTTCAGCACACGTGTGTCCGTGTCAGCATGACGCAGAAGCCTAAGGCAGCCCCCTTCCGCCCTGTGACCTGGTCTGCATGGGCCAGGCGGTCTGCTTACCTGGACAGGAGCACAGGTGTCAGGCGTTGCCGTCTCCGTTGTGAGAGTGTGTGGTGCTGGGGACTGGGCTCAGGGCTGCATGTGTGCGTGCACGAGTGGTACATTGCATGTGTGCACGAGTGTACATGTACGAGTGCTGGTGTGTGTGCACGTGTGAACGTGTGGGTGAGTGCATGCATGACTGCGTGAGCACACATGAGTGAATGCATCTGTGAGAGCACGTGTGCATGTGTGTACGTGTGACTGCACACGTGTGGATGTGTGCTCGTGTGCGTATGCACATGTATGGGTGCATCCACAAGTGTGTGTGCACGTGCGTGAGTACCTGTATGACTGCGTGTGAGTGTGCGTGTGTGTGTGAGTGTGCGAGCATGTTTGTCTGGAGGCCGGAGTCCATTTTCCTCGTTCAGAACTGCGTGGCGGGCCCTGGTGTGGAAACCGGGGCCGGCAGGGGCTGGGGATTTAGCTCAGTGGTTCTGCCGCCTACCTTGCAAGCGCAGTGACCAGAGTTCCATCCCCAGTACCAAATGAAAAAAAGAAAAAAGAAAGCACATGGATTTTAGGACCAGGGATTTAGCTCAGTGGTTCCTGTGCCTGTCTCGCAAGTGCAAGGGCCCGAGTTTGATCCCTGGTACCGAAAAAAAAAGGGAAACTGGAGCGGACAAACTGGGCCCAAGGCCACATAGCCCTGGGCCGTGCCTGGCAGAGCCCGGGGCTGCTCAGGCCGGGACCGCCCGCTGTTCTTCTTGTATCCCTTCAGCCCAAGAGCACAGTACCTCCCTCTGTGGGCCTTCATGCAGGGCCCCTGAAAGGTCTGGAGGGCCCTGCAAGCCCACGTGGAGGGAGACTTTGCCCAGGGTTTCATGTGGGGCAGAGTAGGGGTGACTGGTGCACCCAAGCGGACGGGGCTGTCCCCCCGCTCTGGTGAGCCGGTCACCCCAGGCCCTCTGAGAGCGCCGCCCGCGGCCTGCCCCTGACAGACACAGTGGCCTCTCCGGCGGTGCCAGCCCAGTCCTTCCTGGGGGCGGCCAGGCCCCTTCTGACATCTTGCTTCCCAGGCTGCTCTTGTGGTGACCGTGCTGGCTCCTGCCCGAGGGTCCGGGTGTGAGCAGGTGCCTGCCAGGCCTCCAGCCCTCTCTAGCTCTGCCCACCGTCTTGGTCAGCAGGTCCCACTGCCCCTTCCAAGGGTGGAACAGCCCTGCACCCCGCGTCTGGTGAGCTGCCTGTCCCCTCCCAGAATGAGCCCTGGTCCTGTCTCCTGACAGCTGTGTCCCCTCCCGTGTTTTCTGACTGCGTCTCACAGCGCGTGCGCTCGCCCTGGGTGTGCCCCTGAGAGGGTTCGTGGCTCGTGCCCACTGACATCCCCGTAGGATTCAGTGGACTCCTTGGGGTTTTTGGGTAGATGATCATGTCTTGGAATTAAAGACAAATCTAGTCCTGTGTTTTCCCCAAAATAAGACTTATCTGGAAAGTAATAGGCCTTGAAAACCAGAGATCAAAGGTGCTAGTCCCAAGTGGCCCATCCCTGCCTTCCCTGCCTTACAGAGCAGCCATGAGCAAGAGAATCGCAACGCAAGGTAAGGCAAGGGTGGGCCAGCTGGAGCTGTTTGGTTTTTGTTCTTTTGAGACCAGGTTTCCCTATGCATTCGGGTTAGCCTGGAACTCACAGTGATCCTCCTGCCTCAGCCTTCCCAGTGCTGGTATCACAGGCATACACCAGCACACCCAGTGGGGCTGGCAGTTTGGATCTTGAGTTTTCAAGGCTGAGAATTTTCCTAGGTCCTATTTCCGGGAAAACAGGATCTCTTCCTTTCTGATGGTGACACCCTTGTTTCTGCTTGGGGTTTTAGTGCCTCGTCCTTTTTCTTGCATTTTGTGTCAAACCTGAAGGTCCCCCAGGCTCTTGTGGCCCTGGGAGAGGCTAAGACGGGAGGTTCAGCACCTCCCTGACCAGTGATGGCTGGCCGTCCCCACAGGGAACGCGCTGTCCCCGCTCAAGGCCAGCCTTGTGTGGACACCATCTCCTCTTGGGATCCAGCCACAGGAAGCCACCCCCGCCTGTGCCGGCATCCTGAGGGTGAAAGCACCGTTCGTGCTCCCTCCCAGGCCCTGCCTCCACCTCCCCACCATGGTTGCAGGACAGGGACTTCCTGAGGGGTAGAGGCCAGGCCCCAGCTGGGGGGATGCGGCTGGCTGGCAGGGCCGCCCCACATGCTGAGCACCTCTCGGCCCCCGCTCGGCCCAGGTCAGGGGCTAATGTCCACCCCTTTGACGGAGAAACCTGGGTGAGAGAGGCAACATGACCAGAGAAAGGGGGCATCCCATCTGCACCCCACAGGCCCTATGAAGAGTGCGTTTGTGGTGACTAGCTTTCCGATAAATTGAGAAGCTAAGCCAGCAGCGGGGGCAAATAAACCTCTCATCCCAGCACTGTAGGCTGAGGCAGGAGAATTGCAAGTTTGAACCCAGTCTGGGCAACTTGCCAAACTTTGTCTCAAAATTTAAAAGAAAAAAATTCATTAATTTTAAAAAAACGTCTGGGGTTAGTAGCTCATTGTGAAGGCCCTGGGTTCTGTCTCCGTCACTGCAGGGAGGGTGCCCCTCCTCCGGCCTCGTGCATTTGAGGACTCCTCTGACTGCTTGAGCTGTCACAGGATGGAGCCCAGTGTCGCCGGGCCCCTGTGCTCTGGGTTTTGGGAAAGAATGTGTTCAGGCTGCCCGGGACCTGTGTCCCAGACAGGCTGTCGGCCGGGGGCAGGCGTGTCGCCTTGTGTGTGCACACGTGTGTGACCCCGGTTGACGTCAGCACTCTGTCCCGGCCTCAGCAGCCCCCGGAGTGCACGTCCAGCCTCTGCTTTGCCTGTTTGCTTCCTGTTATAGTCAGCAGGATTGGGTGAGGAAGTACTTTAAATCAGAACACAGAACTTACCAGGTTATTTTAGGATAATTACACAAAGCATCAAATGTAAAGGAGTGCAAGAGATTAACCACACACTAGAAGCCCAAAACATCCATCCAAGGGCCGGATCCCAGCAGCTTCCCACACCAGTCCGGCGAAAGGCTTGGAGCCCAAGGCAGTGCCCCCTCGAGTCCATCCAGTGGCCTGGAGCCCACAGCAATGTCTCATGCTTGTCGGTATCGAGGATCTGCACCTGGAAGGCCCAAAGGCCAGGGGTGGAAGCCAGAAAATCTGTGCTCACGAGATGAAGAATCTCACCAGACTGAGGGATCCACATTGGAGCAGGAAGTGATGCTCACAGTAAAGATGAGAGCTCCCCTGATTGAAGCAGCAGCCATTCCCAATGTCAGGGACGCCCCGAGCTCCGACAAGAACAACCTAGTTCCGTCAGGAAAACCACCCGCACCAAGCTTCTCCTAGAAAATCAACAGCCCCATCTTCCCCTCCGGGTCTCTTTTTACCGCTATTGGTAGCGATCCTCAGGTGGATTCTCCACACTCAGACCATGCTGATTCGGTTCAGCTGGGTGTCACAGGTTCACTGTTAGTCCACTGTACTCCAGCTGTGAGACGTGGGGCCCTGAAGGCAGGGTCTACGCCCCTCAGCTCCTGAGGGTTGCTCAGCGTTGAGGTCCCCTGTGCCTGCCCTGCAGCTCGGTGGCCCTGCCTCCCTTGAGTTCCCCCAGCCCTGCTGAGCTGGGGTGGCCAGAGCCACAGGAAAGGGGTGGTCTCTGGGTCACTTCTCAACCGCTGGCTCCCGCGAGGGCTGGGAATGCTCGGGGAGGTGTCCCCCACTGACGCCTCCTCCTCGCTGGCTGCAGAGTGGGATCTGAACAAGCTCTGCCTCTGCTGTCAGCTGTGGACCGGGTGACATGGGTGCCTGGCAGGGCTGAGGCTGAGCAATGGCACTGGGAGCGGAAACCGAGTTCTATCAGAGTGCCAGCCCAGGCTCTTGATGGCACCCTTGGGTGGGCGGTCCCTGGGGCAAGTAGTTGAGGGCATCAGTGGCCAGCACAGCTCTTGCTGCCTGTGCTGTGCAGCAATGTGTGGGAGGCTGCATGAGTTGGGGGTGTGGTGGGCCTTAGAACAGGGCCTGTGGCAGGGTGGGCACGGCACGCCTGTGATGCAGCACCAGGGGAGGCTGAAGCAGGAGGAGTGCAAGTTCCAGCCAAGCCTTGCATCTGAAAAACTTAATGAGATCATGTCTCAAAATCGAAAATTTAGAAAGGACTGAGGATATAGCTTAGTGCAAAGGTCTGTTTCCATCTCCAGTAGGGAAGCAAGAGAGAAAAGAAGTGACAGGCAGCCTGGGCCGTTGTCTGGGTGTCACCTAGTTCTCCAGCCTTGGGGACCTGGGCTTCTCTCCTCCCAGGGGTGGAGCGGGGCCTGAGCTCCCACTGGGCACAGAGGTGGGAGGCTGGCCGGTGGGCTGGGCACGGCCCTCAGGCGTCTGCCCACCTTCTCCCCGCAGTACGGCAGGAAGAAGCTGAAGTACCTGCCTTACAATCACCAGCACGAGTACTTCTTCCTGAGTGAGTGCGCCCACCCGGCACCCCCACCATGCTCTGCTCCCTGCTCCCCTCCTGCAGCCCTAAGAAGTACGGAGGCGGCAGGTGGACAGCGGGCGCCTGACTCGCCTCTCTCCACAGTCGGGCCGCCGCTGCTGATCCCCATGTACTTCCAGTACCAGATCATCATGACCATGGTGATGCGCAGGGACTGGGTGGTGAGTGTCAGGCGGGCGCCGCCCCAGCCTGTGTCCCCACGGTCCGAGCCTGGTCACCCCACTCCTGGGGGGCGGCGAGAAAACGGCACATGGGAGGCATGGTCCCTGGGGCCCGGCCTTGGCGGTGTCACCGGGGGCCGGTGGTGGGTGCCGGGCGGGCCCCGCCCCAGCCTGTGTCCCCACGGTCCGAGCCTGGTCACCCCACTCCTGGGGGGCGGCGAGAAAACGGCACATGGGAGGCATGGTCCCTGGGGCCCGGCCTTGGCGGTGTCTCCGCCTGTGCCTGTGTCCGGGAGTCCCCTCTGCAGAGCCCTGGGTGACCCGCCTAAGCTGTTCCCCAGAGGCCCTGCAGAGCTCCTGACCGGCCTCAGCCTTCAGAATGAGTGTGGGACGCAGTTCAGCACCAGCAGCCGCCCTGGGCTCCCACCCCTCCAGAGTGAGGCTGTCAGAGGGGACCGGGACCCTTCCCTTCCCTTGAGCTCAGTGACTACTGGGAGGCCCCGTGGGAGTGGGAGCCGTCCACAGACCTGCCCTGCCCCAGCTCGGGGCTGACTGAACCCAGACCTCCTGGGTTGGGCAGCCCTTGTTTTGTTTCATTTCATTTTGTGTTTTGTTTTGTATCCCCGCTCATTTTTCTTTTTCTTTTTGTTTTCCTTTTTTTTTTTTTGTACTGGGATAGAGCTCAGAACCTTACACTTTCAAGGCAGGCGCAGTGCCACTGAGCTGCATCCCTGGCCCTCATTTTTTATCTTGAGACAGGGTCTTGCCAAGTTGATAAATAGCCCAGGTTGGGCTGGAACTCGCAGTCCTGCTTCAGCCTCCCAGAGTGCTGGGATTGAAAGTGTGTGCACTTGTGTGTTTCACAGCAGATGACTCTGGATGCAAATGCACAATATCACTTCTTAGTGTTACCGTGCTTGCTGCGGGGATGAGAGGACAAAGCCCTGACTAGGAAGAGCAGGACAGGAAGCAGCCTGTGTTCCTGACAGGCAGAGCCTGGGACATCTGAGACGCCCTGGGGGTGTCTAGGGCTCACAGCACTGGTCTGGAGCCCTCCAGGGTCACTGTGGCAGAGGGAGGGCACACCTCAGCTGGCAGGACCATGCTGGACATCCTACTGGGCCCTGGAGACCTTGGCCCAGGATCTGTCTGGGGTCCTCAGGGGCTCGGAGGGCTGGGCTCGGCCAGGGGCTTCCCAGGCCCCTCCTTCCTGGACCTTTGCTTCTGGGTGGCCCAAGAAAGGACAGTTGGCTGGCCAGATGGCACGTTCCCCTCAGCCGTTCCTAGCAGTGGAAGTCTGTGGAGGGCCTGTGGTTCCCCAGAGCTGGCTGGGGTGCTGAGGGGACCCACAGAGCCCAGAGTTCCCTGGGGCTGGGTGGAGCTGGGAGGGACAGCATCTGCCTGGAGTGGAAGCCACCAGCTGCCTCTGGTACCCGGGCAGGAGAGTGTTGGGCAGAGGGGTGCAGGCTGTACCCGCCCAGGGAGGGAGAGGGGGCGGCCACGCTGTGACTCCCCTCTGCCCCAAGTCGGAGGTCTGGACAGACACTCGGGCCCTGCACCCACCCAGGGCTGTCCCAGTTCAGCTGCCAGGAAGCAGCGGCTCCACATGCCGTTGGGCCCGGTGCCAGCCTTCTGGAGGCGCCGCAGCCAGGTGAGCCCAGCAGGGCGGCCCTGAGCCTCCTCTCCTGCAGGACCTGGCCTGGGCCATCAGCTACTACGTGCGCTTCTTCTCCACCTACGTGCCCTTCTATGGCATCCTGGGGGCCCTGCTTTTCCTCAACTTCATCAGGTGCCTCAGCTGTGTCCTGGCCAGGCGGGTGGGACAGGTGAGCTGGGGTGGCCACTCTGGGAATCCCTCCTGTGACCCTGACCGCTCCCCCAGGTTCCTGGAGAGCCACTGGTTCGTGTGGGTGACCCAGATGAACCACATTGTCATGGAGATCGACCTGGACCATCACCGTGACTGGTTCAGCAGCCAGGTGAGGGGCAGGGCCTCAGTGGTGGGCCCTGGGCCTCCTGCATCCTCGACGAAGACCTGGGCAAGCAGGGTGGGAACAGCACACTGCTGGGGCTGCGCCCCGCTCATCTGGTCTCTCCCCAGCTGGCGGCCACCTGCAACGTGGAGCAGTCTTTCTTCAACGACTGGTTCAGCGGGCACCTCAACTTCCAGATCGAGCACCAGTGAGTGGGGCTGGCGGGGAGGCCAGGGTGTCTCGCCCCCCTTCTGCTTGCACCTGGGCACCCATCAGTGGCTCCCTAGCTCTCTGGGGCCCTCACTTGCCAGCATCCCCACTGCCCCCAGCCTGGCTGGGCTCGGGGCTGTTCTCACGCGGCCGTCTGCGTCTGCAGCCTCTTCCCCACCATGCCCCGGCACAACCTGCGCAAGATCGCCCCGCTGGTGAAGTCGCTGTGTGCCAAGCACGGCATCCAGTACCAGGAGAAGCCACTGCTGCGGGCGCTGCTGGACATCATCGGGTGAGGACCCTGTCCGCCTCCCCCAGCCTGGCCTCCTGCACCCCCGCCAGCACCTGAGCCCTGGTCCCCGTCCCTTCGCAGGTCCCTGAAGAAGTCGGGGCAGCTGTGGCTGGACGCCTACCTCCACAAGTGACCAGCTGCCTTGGGGCGCCAGGGATGGGGTGACAGCCAGAGGGAGGGGACTTTGTTCTGAGGGTCGCCCTGGGGCTGGGGATGTCACAAGCGGTCATCTCCTTCCCTTCTCGCTGACCTCCTAGCCCGGTCCCGCCCGTGTCCCCGTCCCTGTCCCCAAGAGCAGGAGAGGTGGCCGTGGTGTGTGCCCCGTCCCTGCCTCCCGCTCCTGCCCTGAGGACCTTGGGCCGGGGTCCCAGGCCCATGCCTGTCTCCTTTCAGCCTTGGACATGTGGGTCTCAGGCTGGCCCACTCCCTCGGGGGAGCTCAGTGCTGGGCCTGACTGGAGCTGCAGTTCCCCCTGCGTCCTCCAGCACAGAGCCCTGGGTTCAGGAGCCCATCCTGCCCATGCCCAAAGCGCTCCAGCCAGAGCCTGAGGTGGCGTGGACAAGGCCACCAGGTCATGGCACCCACATGGCCTCGCGGGCACTCTCCTACTGGCTTTTTAATCTTTGCTGTTTTCACGTTTTCTACAGATGCATTCCGACAGGAGGGTGGCCGGGCTGGTCCAGGACAATCTGCGTTCTCCGGGCCGGGTGGAGAGGGCAGGCGGGCGGGTGAGGGCATGAGAGGCGGGCGGCCCTGGCTCGAGATCTAACCCACTAACTGGCCTCTCGCCCCGGAGTTGGGTCTCCCTCAGCAGCAGCCCCAGCCTGCTCCCCAAGGGCAGAACAAACCCATAGGGAACTGATCTTCATTTTTATCATATTGCATCCCCAGCCTACATTTTTGAAGAATAAAAGAAGTAATTTTATTCTCACTTCTGTGTGATTCAGCAGGAGCTGTGGAAGGCCCGGCAAGCTTCCCACTGCTGACGTCGGGTGTGGGCTTGGGGGGCTGGGGAGCCAGGTACGGGCCTGGCCTGGGGGTGCGGGGCAGATGGGCCCCACCCCGCGCCTCTCGCCCACGCCAGAGGCTCTGGGGTCTGAAGCAGGGCTGGGTGGCAGGGGAAGCCAGGTCACAGAGTGGCCCTGGATGTGGCCCCAGGCACTGCCCCGTGGCCTTTCCCGCTCAGCCGCCCGGCTCTGCCCAGTGCCCAGGTTACTTCCTGCCGCAGGTGGGACAGCCCATGGTCCACAGCTCCACACCATGGGCATCAGACCCCGACTGCTGCGGTCCACGGTGGGCAGCTGAGACCTGAGGGAAGAGGGACCGGCCCGAGGCCACATGGCTGCTCCTTGCCAGGCTTCCTGGGGCAGGTGGGGGCGGGGGCCCCAGACAGTTGGCAGAGTGGAGCAGATAAGGCTGGCCATGGGCGGGCGCTCACAGGCTTATCGCAGGGGCCACTCCAGCCTGCGGCCTGCGAGCTCCTCGGGCGCTGGGAGGGAGACATGGCCTTGGGCAAGAAGGGCTGAGCAGAGGTTGGCAGCCACCGACCCACACAGCCTCGACTGCTGTGTGTCGCTGCTCCGCCCCGCACAGGAGCTGCTGGGTCTGGCTGGCCCCGCCTGTGTGGGCCAGTTGTGCTTCCTGTGCCCTGGGACGCACGCCACCCAGCACGCCGGGACACCACAGCCACGCACGGTGTTGCACCGTCTGCCCCGTATGTGGTGTGGCAGGTGGGCTGCCAGCCACTGCATTGTGGGGAAGCCATGGCACAAGCCTGAGCTTGTGGGGCTGGGGCCAGCAGGAGCGTTGGTCAGTCCCCGACCTGCGGCAGGCGGGCTGGGTCCCAGGCCACCCACACCGAGGCCGTAACCTGAGGAGCTGCTCAGGGCTGCGGGTCACAGAAGGGGCGGCGGGGAGCACAGGGTCTCAGGCCCTGAGGAGCTTCCTGTGCTGTGTCCCATTTTGTTCTGTGACCAAACAAGAGACCTATGGGGGCGAGGAGCTGGGCTGAGTGGGGGTGGCCCATTCCCCAGGCGCCGGGGGCACGGAGGGGACCTCAGGGAGGGTCCCGGGGGTGTGCACAGTCGGGCAGGGACACCCAGGCAGGCCTGCCGGTCCTGCGCTTAGGCAGGGGCTCTGTTCAGGGGTGAGCAGTACCTCCTGCTCTCAGGAGCAAAATGAGACTTGGGCCCAGGGCAAGGGGTGGACCAGGCCACAAAACGTGACCCTTTTGTTTTCCATCACCTAGGAGGTAGCACTGGGATCAGGGAGGCTGAATCACTTTTCCCAGGTCACGCAACCTTGAGTCCTGGCCAGGGCAGGGCTTGGCCTCCACACCCCACCCCCATAGACCCCAGAAAGAGGGCAAAGGCTTCGTGGCTGGTGGGGTCCTGGCCTGGGGGTGTGAGCTGCGGAGGGTGCCCCATACCCCTACCCCAGGTGCCCAATCCAGCAGCTGTGTGGGCCTGGGCTGGGCAGGGGGCTCCTGGGTAGGAAAGGAGGGCAAGGAACCACACAGCCATCACTCCCTGCTCAGCACCCTGGACACCCATAGTCACGCGAGCAACAGGCTGGGCCTTGGGATGAGGTTCACAGGCAGAGCCGCCTGTGGGGGGCTTTGGGGGGGACACAGCATCTCCCCACCTCTGTGGGGTTGCGGGGGCAAGAATCACAGTACTTGGGCCTTTCCTCTCCACGGGGCGACCCTGGGGAAGTGGACCCTGCAGCTGGTGGGGGACCCTGCTTCTGGAAAAGCCCTGAGCAGACACCTGCACTCTGCCTCCACCCCTGGCACCCCCAGGCTCCCCAGCCAGAGAGCCGGGACAGCTCCCAGTCCCTAAATCCATTCACATTCATCACTCTGCTCCACAGCACTCTGGGTTGGCTTTTATATAAAAATAACAGTTTTCCCTGATTCTGGTGTGGGAAAACATGCTGTGCCGAGGTGTGGTTGCCACACCTCCCTCCGTGCCACAGGGTCCACGGGACAGGGCCTGCCGGTGGGCAGCGGTTCCTTGGGGGCGTAGGCTCGGGTCCCCGGCCGTCTGCCCCGACTTCACTGGTGGAGGTAGGCGTCCAGCCAGACGTCACCAGACTTCTTCAGGGACCTGGGGAGGGGTGGGGTCAGCGCTCCAGCACAAGGGCCCCTCAGCCCCCTGTGGTCTGGTGACCCCGAGTGCCCACCAGGGCAGATGAGGACAGGGTGAACAGTACGGCCTAGCTGGGGCCCGTGTCCCAGCCATCCCTGCAACCAGTTTTCCCTGTGGCCTCCTTCCCCTGGGCCCAAAGACAAGAGTCGGAGCCCCCATGCCTGCCAGCTCACCACTCACAGCCATGCAGGGAACAGACGCTGCGCAGAGATGCCCCAGGCCCTGGGTACCACGCTGGCCCCCAGCCTGGGCAGGAGCAGGAACCTGGGCTCCCCTTTTCGGCTGCAGCCTCCTCCCGGGTGCGTTGCTGTCAGAGCCCCTCCGCTTGGCACACCCCACACACAGGCCTTGCTGGCCCGTTCCCGCAGCCCGGGACACTGGCCCATGCAGGGAACAGACGCTGCGCAGAGATGCCCCAGGCCCTGGGTACCACGCTGGCCCCCAGCCTGGGCAGGAGCAGGAACCTGGGCTCCCCTTTTCGGCTGCAGCCTCCTCCCGGGTGCGTTGCTGTCAGAGCCCCTCCGCTTGGCACACCCCACACACAGGCCTTGCTGGCCCGTTCCCGCAGCCCGGGACACTGGCCCCCGGGGCGCCACCACAGCTCTGGAGGCTGGCACTCCCGCCTGGCCTCTGCAGCCCCCACCTGCCCCGCCCGCGGTGTCTGCTGGCTGTCATCCCGCCAAAGCATTTCCTGTGCCCAATGTAAACCACACCTCTCGGAGCTGCCCTGGAGCTGTGTAGTGTGCAGGGCATCCGGGGCCAGCACAGCCTTACCCAACAATGTCCACCATGGCTCTGAGGAAGGGCTTGACCTCGTAGAGCAGGCCGTGCCTGGCACACAGCGCCTGGACCAGTGGGGCCACCCTGCGGTAGTTGTGCCTGGGCATCGTGGGGAAGAGGCTGTGGGGACAGTGTCACATGCTGCAGTCACCAGGTGGGGTGTGGGCCCTGCTCCGCCCAGCCCGGCACTCACTGGTGCTCGATCTGGAAGTTGAGGTGCCCGCTGAACCAGTCGACGAAGGGTGATGGCTCCACGTTGCAGGTGGCCGCCAGCTGCCACAGGGTGGGCACAGTGAGGGGGGCTCGGCGCTGACCCCCCCAGGTTGCCCCCAGCTGGCACACCCACCTGCAGGCTGACCCAGTCGCGGTGCCTGTCCTGGCCCACGTCCCTAGGGATGTGGTTCATCTGTGTCACCCACACGAACCAGTGGCTCTCCAGGACCCTGCAGAAGTCGGTGTTACCCACCCCAGCCAGACGGTGAGACAGAGCCCGTGCCAACCCAGATGGCGGCACTGCCTGCCCTGCACCCCGCCCGCTCCTACCTAACGGCCACGTAGAGCAGCAACGCCCCGTGGACGCCATAGAAGGGGACGTAGGCCAGGAAGAAGCGGCCGTAGAAACTGGCAGCCCAGAGCAGGTCCTGCAGGCGGTGGAAGGTGGCTGTCGGGGCGCTGGACCAGGAGCCCCCTCCCTGGCGAGCCGGGGCCAGACCGCGGATGGCCTGCTGGACACTCCTGCCCACTCACCGCCCACTGCAGGCACACGAGCATGTATACCAGGTTCTCCACCTCGAAGTTCACCAGGGTGAGCAGCGGGGGCCCGACTGCAAGAGGGGTGCAGATCGAGGGGCGCTGCCCCCACAAGCAGACACAGGGCACCAGTGCCCTCCCGAGGACTGGTCCCCGTGAGAGCCGTGACCTTGGCCACCCCAGCAGATCAAGGCTCGGGGCTCAAGTGTCGGGACCGGCGTGACATGCTCGCCCCTGCTGGCCACCGCAGTGGCCCAGGGACGCTGCAGGCCGCGAGTGGCTGGGGCCAAGGACGGCGCAGGCTCGGGCACTGGCCGGAGCTGGGCACTCACGGAGGAAGAAGTAGAGATGCTGGCGGTTGTAGGGCAGGTATCTGCGCTTCTTCCGGCCATACTGCAGGGACAGGAGGCTGTAGGCGCTGCGGCCGGGCGGCGGGGCGGGCAGAGTGCAAAGACCCACCCACCTCCACAGATGACTCCCCCAGCAGGAAGACGGGCGCCAGCGTGACGTCGGGGTCCTTGTGGGAGACGTTGGGCTTGGCGTGGTGCTGGAAGTGGCGGAAGTTCCACCAGTGGGCGGAGAAGCCCTGGGGGGGCGTGGCGGTCAGGGCCGGCGGGCGGGGCGGAGCCCGCGGACACCTGCGGCGGCCCCGCCCTCACCTTCAGCTGCCCCATGACGAACTGCTGGGCCACGCGGTTCCACCGTGACGTGAGGAAGACGGAGGAGTGGCCGAGGTCATGCTGCAGACACCAGCTCTGAGCCTGCGAGAGACGCGGGTCGGGCCAGGCGGGCAGGGACCCTAAGTGCTCCGAACTGCTGGCCGCCCCGGCCCCACACTGGGCAAATGTCGGGCTCAGAACCACACCCCAGGCACAGGCCTCACCCTGCAGCCCTCGCTTTCTCCTCCTGGCTGGCAGAAGCCAGAACCCCCAGGCAGCCACGGAGCAGCGCCTGTCCCCATACTGCCGCCGGGCCCCAGTGGGACTCCGGTTCTCCCTTCCCAGAGCTGGATGTGAAGGTTCCCAGCCTGCTCACTCGGAACCGAGTGGACCAGGAGACCCGGCTCCCACTCGGAGGGCCTCGTTGCCCGGCGGGAGATCCGGAAGACAGCTGGCCTGTCCACTCTAGCAGTCCCATCATGTCCGTCCAGTGCCCAGCTGTGCCCTCCTGGCCCCACCTCTGTACTCAGGGTTATGACAGCCAACTTCCCCAGCTCAGGCTGTGCCGCTCGCTCTTCCACCTGCCCTGCACATTTGCCCACAGGCCACCTGCCTGGGCCCCACCCCTGCGCGGGCCCAGGTCACCTGGGAAACGCCCAGGATGAGGGCGGCGAGCGTGCTGGGCACCCAGCCGGGGCCCAGGAGGTAGACGAGCAGCCAGGCCAGCACCTCCATGGCCAGGATGTGGCCCAGCATGAGGGCGAAGAAGGCAGGGTCGGCCCTGAACAGCTGCATGTCCTTGGCCACCTGGCACAGGGCTCGGAAGTCTGCGAGGAGCTGGGCCTGTGAGGTGGGGCAGAGGGGCCGTCACGCGTGCGAGGTAACTCCTGGCCCCAGCCTCCGCCCGGCGGCGCCATCTCCCAGCCCAGGCGCGGGGTGGGCAGGGCCAGGGCACG